GAACCAGAACCAAAACCAACGCCAGAACCAGAACCAGAACCAGAGCCAGAACCAGAGCCAGAACCAGAACCAGAACCAGAGCCAGAACCAGAACCAGAACCAAAGCCAGAACCAGAGCCAGAACCAGAACCATAACCAGAACCACAGCCTTGCTCGGAGGCCACGAAACACTGTGTATCACATGTTTTTCTGTTTTTTTCTGGTCTGGGAACCAACGAAACATTGTATATCATATGTTTTTCTGGTTTTTCTGTTTTTCAGGTGCCGACAAACAGGAGGTGGGGGAGCGGTGGGGCGAGGCCGCGGCGAGCATTTCAGCTCCAGAAACCAGAAAAACCAGACAAACCTGTGATACGCAGTGTTTCGTTGGTTCCCAGACCAGAACAACCAGAAACACATGTGATACACAGTGTTTCGTGGCCTCGGCCGAAACCGATATGTTTGCGCGCACGGTGCCCGTGACGGATGGGCCGAGCGGATGAGTTCGTCAGCCTGGATGGCAGGCCAAAATTGACTTGTGTATTCGTGCTTTGGGCGCTCTGGGGGGTCGCTGGGGGGGGGGGGGGGGGATCGACCATATATATATATATATATGTGCATGTGCATATGCACTCGTATACATACATACACGCATCGGTGTGTGCATATGTATAGCCATGTGTTTGTTTATGTATTTGATTAGGTACACGCGTCTGTAACTGTGTTTGCATATTCCTATGCATATGCATACTGGCATGTCTGGGTATATGAATATGCATGAGTATATTTATATGTATACGTATACGTGTATGTAAATGTTTATGTATATGTATATGTATATGTATATGTATATGTGTATGTATATGTACATGTATACGTATATGTATTCATGCATGTATATGCACATGTGAATGAATACACATGTGATCATGCATTTGCTCATTCATACGTTTACGCATATATATATATATATGAACGCATTTGCATATATGCGACTGTTTATGTACTTGCATATTCATGTGTATCTGCCTATGCACATACATTCGTATATGAATCTGCTTATGTATAAGTATATTTAGACGTCTATGTATCTGTATAGCGAAGGCCTTGCGGGCGTTGCCGCCGACCCTGAATGGCGACGACGACGACGACGAACGCTCTCGAAGGGTTCTGGGGGAAGTTAGGGGGCCTCTTGGGAAACTCTTGGGCCCTGCTTGGAAACCTCGTGGGGGCCTCTTGGGGCTTCTGGGGGTCTCTTGGGTGCTTTTTGGGGCTTCTTGGGAGGCTTTTGGGGGGCCTCTGGGGGCCTGAGGGCTTCCCAGGCCGAGGGCTCGACATGTCCGTTCGGGTCCCCCGTCTGGGCTGGGGCCTCTTCGGCTGTCTTGGAGGCCTCTTGGTCGGTCTTGGGGCCCTATTGGGTCGTTTTGGGGCTCTGTTGGAGGCCTCTTGGGCCATTTTGGGGCGGTCTTGGGGGCTTCTAGGCCTGTTTCGGAGCGTCGGGAAGCTGACAAGGCGAGAATGCCGAAATCTTTCAAACATCTACGGGATATCAATGATTTTTGCCCCTTGGGACCCTCTTCGAAGTCCTCTTGGAGGCCTCTCGGGGCGTTTTGGAAACCGTTTGAGCTGTCTGGAGGCTACGTTGGCGACTTGGACCGATACTATGGCGATTCGGGGCCCTCGAGGACCGTCTTGGGGGCATCTTGGGGCAGTTTTGCCGCGTCCTGCGGTTTTTCTTGGCCGCCCAACCGCCCGAGGGGAAGTCGTATCTGCCCCAGGACCCCCGGGGGCCCCTCCCTGGGGACCCCCTCGGGGCTCCCCTGAGACCCCCCCCGGGACCTCACCCCCAGGACCCCCACCCCCCGGCGGGGAAGGGATCAAAGGGAAAGGGCTTCCCTTCAACTCAACTACAACGTTGCTTAATTTCGCTGTGGCTGGCGCGTTCGAGGAGGAGAACCCAGTCAAAGTGGGGGAAATGGCGACGGGCCGAGGGAACAGGGGGGAAGCGAGCGGCGAAGGCGACGACGACGACGACAACGACCACGACGACGACGACAACGACGACGACGAGCCAAACGGAACAGCCAAACGACGACAACGACGACGACAGCCAAACGGACACCCATGTTTATGTATGTATGTATGTATGTATGTATGTATGTATGTATGTATGTATGTATATGTATATAGATATATGTATATGTATGCATATTTATGTATATACATATGTACATGTATATATGTATAGAACTGTACATATATGTACATATCAGCACGTGACCTATGAGACTGGCCTGCCAGCCGGTGCCCCACGGACATTTCTCATGCCCGATGGCCCCAGGGAGCCACAGAAGCTCTTGGTCACCGCGGGGCCCGAATATGAATGTGCCCCAATCTAATGGTCGTCGGCCCACCTCGCCACCGTTCCTGGGATGTGGGTCAGAGGCCTCTTGGATGTTCGTGGAGATGTCGTGGGAGGCCTTTCGGGTGCCTCGTGGAGGCAGTTTTGAGGCCTCTCGGGGGCCTCTCGGGATGTCTTGGGGGCATCCTGGAGGCCTCTTGGGTACCTTAGGGGACTTTTTGCGGCGCCCCAGTGTTCCCCATACGGTGCTTCTACTTAGGGATCGTTTCTTGTTTTCGAAGGAACTAGGCCTGTCTGCCGCTCTGGCGGTTGTGCAGTCGCCGTCGCCGCGTCGTCGCCGCATCGTCGCCGCCCGTCGGCTTGGCCCGTCAGGCGCACTGGCGGCTATGTCGTCGCAATCGCCGCCCCGTCGCAACCCGATAGCTGCCTCCTAATATCGCAGTAACAAGCAATCGGCACAGTCATGAACTTTCGGAGGTCCGCGCGGATCTCTTTGGTTGGTGCTGGGGCCCCTCCCTGGCGCGCGGGGCGCGCCTGGGGCGGCGCTGGAGGCGCCGCCAGGGCGCCGATCCCAAAAATCCTCGCGAAGCCCCGAAAGCTTATACCTATGCCGTCTTGCTGTCCTCCTCACCCATTCAACATCAGACGCTGTTCGCCTCAACTGCCAGTCCTGCACACTGGGTGATGTCAGTTGCGATGTCGGTCCGCATCACAGTCGAGCTGCTGCGCCGAAGAGTCTTCCGGCAGCCGCGAGGCCCGCCCTCGCCGTGGC